TTTTTTTTTTTTTTTTTTTTTTTTTTTTTTAACGAGGGGGGAATGCATTTACGCACCATACCATAGCACGAGCTACGACGTGTGTGGGGCTCCAGGGTCTTGAAGAGATCACCTAATACCCACTAAACCCTAAACCTCCGCGTGGCCCGACTCATCAGCGTCTCGGTAGGCCATGTGTTGTGCGTGACCTGCGGTCTGCTACAACGTCTCCTCATGTGTTTCAGTCTCTGGGAACGCCGGGTTGGTTCCCTTTACCTCGCACATTCTATCGATGTCGTTAAGCGATCATCGATAGAGGGTCTGCTAGTTTCTCTTGAAACTCTTGTTTTCGAAAAATCAAGAGTTTCAAGTCATCTTACCAATATGTTGTTCCTGGTCCTGGTCCTGAAGGGTCCTGGTCCTGGTGGGTCCTGGTCGTGGCGGGTCCTGGTCCTGGTTGGTCCTGGTCCCGGTGGATCCTGGTCCCGGTGGTTCCTGGTCCTCTGCATCCACGCCGTGGGGGGGGGGGGGGAGCAGCCGCAGTTCTCCTAGTCTCCTAGTCAAGGTTCCAGTTAGCGGGTGCCAACTGGGACCTTGGTCTGGGGTACCTGGTTCTGCGGTTGCGAGGCCTCTCGTCCGGATCGTAGTCCATGAGGAATCGTAGCTGCTCGTTCGGGTGGTCCTGAGCTTTCTCGAAGGTCTTCTCCGCTTTTTTCCTCATGTACTCGTGGATGGTATCCCATTGCAGGTCTCTACGCAAGGTTGAGTTCCTTACGTAGGAAGGTGCATTGGTTGCGATCCGGAGTAGCTTCATCTCTAGAGCAGCAAGTCGCTTGCGGTAGCTGGGGGCAGCGTACCCCCAGACCGCGGAGGCGTAAGCGAGCTGAGGTCTGGCGATGGCCTTGATCAGCCGTAGCTTGGTCGCTAGCGGCATCTGGCTGTGTCTACCCAGTAATGGATAGAGTTGAGCCATGGCTGCTCTGGTTTTTGCGATGACAGCTTCTATGTGCGCTTTCCAGGTGAGGGACTTGTCAAAAACGATCCCCAGATATTTGACATTGTCGCTCCACTGGATATCTTCATCGAAGATGGATGCTTCGAGAGGTCTTGCAATCCTTCTTCGTTGAATGAAGATTGCCTGCGTCTTCTGGACGTTGATGCGGATTTTCCATTTCACGCACCAGTCCTGAATTTGGTCCAGTTCACCCTGTAGTCTCCTACGGATGATCTCGGGTCGTCTATGCTTGGCGGCTATAGCAGTGTCGTCTGCATATAGGGCCAGCATTGTGTCAGCTGTCTTCGGCACATCGTAAGTATAGATGTTGTAGAGCAGGGGGGCTAAGGCTGACCCCTGGGGCACGCCTGCTTCCAGCTGACGTCTTGTTGAATGGCATGTACCAATCTTCACCGTGAACCATCTTTGTGTTAGATAGCTCTGGATCAGTTGGCACATGTTCGCATCGATTCCGGCGGCTTCCATTTTGGCGATGAGTCCATCGTGCCAAACTCGGTCGAAGGCTCGTTCCACGTCCAGCAGGACGAGACCGGTTGCCTCCTGGAGATTGAAGCCGCTGGTGATGTTTTCCGTCAGTCGTAGCGCTTGGAGTTCCGTGTTGTGGGAGGATCTGAAGCCGAATTGCTCTGGGGGGAGAAGTTGCAGTTCTTCTGCCTGCTTCTCTAGTCGAACGGCGATAGCCTTTTCGACTACTTTGCCCACCGAGGAAACCAGGCTGATGGGCCGGTAGTTCTGGGGCAACTTCCGGTCCTTGCCTGGCTTGGTGAGCATTATAACCTGGGCTTCCCGCCACCGCCGCGGGAAGTGGTTAAGTCTCAGAGTGGCATTGGCGATGTTGGTGAGCGCAGCAATGCCTTTGGTGGGAAGGTTCTTCAGCATCCTATTGTTGATGCCGTCCCTTCCCGGCGCCTTTCTGACCTTCAACCTGCGGATGATCAGACGGATTTCCTCTGGACTGGAGGGGTGATCCGTCTCCTGGCCAGGTGGTCGACTCCTCATGTTTTCGGCTGCGACTTCCACGGCCTCCTCGTGGTTGTCGTCCTCGTCTTCATGGAAATTGAGTCTGCATTCGGATTCTAGCGAATCGGCGAATGCTTCGGCTTTTTCTTCACTGGAGTAGGCCAAGCCGCGTTGGCCGTGAAGAGTGGGGATCGTGGTGCGCTGACGACGAAATTTTCGCTGCATAGACCAGGCCGTACCATCCTGGGTCTCTAGTTCTGCACAGGCTGCATTCCATCTGTTGTTTTGGAGTTCCGCGAGTGCGTTCTTCAGAGCTAACGATGCTCTGTTTCGCGCAACTCTCGACTCCTCTGTCAACAGCTGGAGATGTTCTCGCTTGAGTCTTCTGTTCTCCCTGATCAGGTGCCTAATATGGTGCGGTGCTGGACCATTTAGGTATCTAGGAACTGCCGTAGTCTCGGAGCGGGTGCTGTCCTCGTGCGCTCGCAGGACAGCATTCTCCAGCTCCTCTACTGCGTTGTCCAGTTCCTCCGCTGATCGGATGGTTGGAATTTGAGTGATGTTCCTCTGGACGTTGGATTTGTAAAGGTTCCAGTTCGTCCGTTTGGTGCTCAAGCTATCTCGAGTTCTAGACCCTGTACCAAGTGTTAGTAGAATCGGATTGTGGTCCGACGATCCTTCCACCAGGGTCTCTATCTCGAACTCCTCTCTGATGTTGCGGAGGATGGCTATGTCCAGTACCGCAGGTCGACCAAGGCCGAATGGAATGTAGGTTGGTTGCTCCGGACCGACGATGACCCCCGCCAGGGCATCGACGTGTTCCTGGAGCTGCCTTGCATTCCTGTCTTCGACGTTGTTGTTCCAAGCCGGAGACTTGCAGTTTAGATCTCCGATGACTATGCGTGCTCCTGGGCCTCTCAGGAGGTCAGCGATGTCATCTTCGTCTAGGGCCTCCCCTGGTGGCACATATAGGGAGGTGATTCTGTAGGGACGGTGGTTGTGATGGACCTGGACCGTGATTCCGTCCCCATTTATGTCTGCGGCATCGTCGAGGACATGACTCGTCAAGGTACGTTTGACGAGTAATGCGACTCCTCCACCTCTGCCCCTTCTGTCGTAGCGGTACGTCTCGTACCGCGGGAACGTCAGACTATGGGCAGCATCCAACTTCGTTTCTTGGATGGCCATCACCTCTGGTTGGTACTGGTCTAGTATCTCCTGGATTTCTGGTTTCCGTGCCCTGAAACCGTTGATGTTCCAGGAGATAATGCGTAGAGATTCTACGTTTTGACCTGTAGACATTTCGGGTCTAGTGCTTGTCTTGCATCTTGGCCTCGAGTGCATCCAGGCGGGTTATGATGTCTTGCATCATTGCTAGCAGTCTGTCATCGCCGTGTTGCTTCTGCGCAGTAGTTCCAGTAGCAGTGGCGGCTGCTGGGGCAGAAGTGGACATAGGCTTCTTCACTTTTTGGGCGTAAGAAGTCCTATTTGTGGTGGGGACTGCTTTGGGGGCAGAAGCAGCTTTCTTCGGCGCCTTACTACATCCCTTGTAGTTGGCGGGGTGGCCTTCTCCACAGAGGCAACACTTGGCGTTTCGTTGCCCTGTTGGCGGCGCTGGCAGACTGCAGCTGGTGCTGTTGTGGTCCTCTCCACACTTAACGCACCGTTCAGCGAGACGGCAGTTCCGCTGTGTGTGCCCGTACCGCTGGCAGCGGTAGCACTGGCTGGGCTCGGAAGATTTTTCTTCCTCTCGAAGCTGACCGTGAGCATGGCCAGCCTCTGGATCTCTGCAAGCTTTTCCGGCATCTTCGTCTTGACGAGGAAGAGCGGAAGTGGCTTTTTTGTGGTCCTTGAGGTCAGCTGCTGAACCACGGCGTCTGCGATGCCTTGGCTCACCAGATCCTCTTTGATGTCATTGACTGACATCTCTCTCGGAAGCCCACGAATGACCCTCTGGTCCATCCTGTCCTCCTTCAGTTGATATGTGAAGAAGGGCCGCTTGATGGATTCAAGCAGTGCGACTAGCTGACGGTAGTCAGCTGGTGTATTTGTGAATACCTTCACACTGGTACCCGCCGTCCTCGCTTTGGAGAATTGAATCCCCTTGCTGTTCATCATCCTACTCAAGGATGACCAATCAGCGGTGCCCTCGATGTTGATTGGCGGAACTCCTGTTCCTGCCATGGGGGCCTCGGTGGTCCTGGTTGCTCTAGGACCACTCTTCTTTGTGGCAGCTGGCATCTTTCGCTGCCTGGGTTCTTCTTCTTCTTCTTCGGAGGAAACTCGCACCCGCTTCCTCCGTCTGGTGGCGACACTGAAGTCGGTGTCGTCCGTCCTCTTCTCGGCTTCTTCTTCCTTCGGTCCTTCGGTCTGTTGAGTGCCCTCTTCTTGGGCGTCCATCTCGTCCGATGTCTCCTGGTGGTCCTCTTCCTCCTCTTCTCCTGTCTTCTTTGCGGCCTTCTTCTTGGCCCTGCGGAGCTTCCCGCTCAGGTCTTCAATCTCCTGCCTGGCCTGCAAGAATGCTTCTTGCAGGTTTCGCATCTGCTCTTCCAGCATGGCGAAAGCATCCTTCTTTTCTTTCAGCTGGTTAGCCAGCTTCTCAATTTTTGCCATCGTAGATGGCAAACAAACAATCTATCGCAATGAAAATTGCAATAAGATTGCTCAATATGTCCGGGTGGGTCGCAGTCGCACAAGTGTATGCTCGTGACGGCTGCTAGCTCGGAACTGCAAAAATAATGCGCCCTAGCATAGCTATTAATACTGTACCTCGACTCTAACCGAGTTGTATCGAAAGCGCTCGAAAACACCGACGTGCGGCCGCGAGGTTCGATGCGGCCCGTATAGTCCGGGCAAATAAGGATAAAATCGACTGATTTCTTACAAAATAATTAGGGTGACGTTTAATATATAATATGTTCAATAAAATGTTAGCTAATTAGAAAAAAAATAAAAATGGTTTTATTCAATGCTTTTTTAACGGCATTTTATCTGGGGGGGGGGCGCGCGGCCATGCGGCCTTATGGTAGAGCCGCCACTGACTTTTCTATCCTTTGCAAAAATCGCACACATAGTAACCGTGGTCATAGCCAGCGCATTCGCTATGCACCCACCCTTCGCACATGAGACATTGGACCCATTCCTCTCCCCTTCGATCATCTGCATATTTTCCATCGCAAAAGAAACAAGTGCAATCATCTTCTGTTGGTTGTTTCACCTGATCTTCCTTGGGTAATTCCTCTTCTGACTCGTCCGACTTGAATGTAGCATCACTATCAGAGTCCGTAAACTCTTCTTGTAATATCATTCTTTTAGCAGCAGTCTTACCCTCACGTTTCTCTTTTTCATCAATTTCTTTACCTTTTCTCTTTTCCTTTTCTTTTTCTTGCTCTTTCCCTTTATTTACTCCTTTTCCCTTGCCCTTGCTGTTCTCTTTGCCCTTTCCTTGAACTACATGTTTATCCTGATCTTCATTTTTAGTTAGTTTGTTCTGCCTTTCAATCCTTCTCTTTTCTGCTTCCTCCAGTTCGTTTTTATAAGGTGAATTTGAAATAATTTCAGATTTTCCCGATTTGCGACCTCTATTAGATGTGCGTTTCCTAGTTGTGGGAATAGGCGAAATATCAAACGGTGTGGTAACGGAGCCACTATGAGAAGGGCCTGGGCGGTTTTCTTTTTCCTGTTATAATAACGCTGAAGTATTCGGTTGTTCTTTGTAATTTATTGAAGTATCACAAGGGCTTCCAGGCTGAATAATGGACGGTGACAGATTTGTGATTTCAATTCTGTCCTCTTGACAGTTTGCGCTGAGATGACATGGTTCTGTTATCGATGGAGGTTCATCTGGCAGTTCACTGATGTTTGATTGATCTTGTTTTACATCATGAGCTGCTGCGACATAGTCTGAATCTGTGAAGACGTATCTATTAAATGGATAAATTCCCCCGATACTGAAGCCTCTAGCTGCAATTTCTCCAGTCTGGCATTTACGATATGCTTTACCAAATAACTCTACAATATCATAAGCTGTAAGGGGTCTATTATTTTCGCGCAACCACACCCGAATTTCCTCGCTATAATAGGTCTTAAGGGGACCCATGAAGGACTTATCCATGGGCTGAATTTTATGTGTGCAGTGTGGTGGCAGAGAAACCAAGGTTACGTGATTTTGTCTCGCTTTATCTATGAGCTCCAGGTTTTTTGTATGACTAAAGTGACCATCGAACAAGAGAAGAACTGGTGACGCAGCAGATGGTTTCACATAGTCAATAAAATGCTGGAACCATTGCGTGAACAAATATGTCTGTATCCAACTAGATGGATGTGAACGTCCATTCGATCCCACAGGTGCGCCTTTCATTAAAATTTCGCTCATATTTTTGCGGGGGAAAATTATCATTGGCGGAACAAAAATCCCAGCAGGACTCATACAGGTCACTATTGTAATGAGCGAACCCCTTTAGCGGACGTTATGGCTCCAATTTGTTTTTTGCCGCGACGAGCAATTATTTTAGGGTATTTAGATTGGAAAATAGATAGTACTGTCTCATCCACATTGAAAATACGATCAGCAGTAAATTTTTTCTCATCGTAAATTTTGTCAAGGTTATCGTAGAACTCGTTCATTCTTTCTTTCGTGAATCCGCTTGCTCTAGCAAATGATGTCCCAGAAGGCTTCCGCATTGATAGTATTTGCCTATGTCTTGAGAGAAATCCTTTTAGCCAGTATCTGCCAGCTTTTTCATCCTTAAATGGATTCGACAGATTATTTCTGATAGCAAGTTGGTACGCTATTCTTCTCATATCCATTTGAGTCAAACCATATAATTTATCTTCCATTATAAGGGCGTAATTTACTAGCATGTCCTCAAACGCTTTATCAAAGAGTGGTTTGCTACCAATCTTTTTTGAAAGAAGTTCTGGCATGGAAAGTTCTGTTTGATTTGCAAGCCGAAATACAGTAGTTCTCGGTACGTTATAAGTCTTCGCTGCCTTCAAATACCCCATCTTTTTTTCTCGAACCGCTTGTACTGCAGCAGCCATATCTTCTTCAGACCACTTCTTTCGTTTTTTGTATCTGTTAGTGGAAGAGGGCATTGCTAAAACAAAAAACAATCAATTATAAAGAAGCCACAAAGCAGAAAATACGAAAAAGGAACGTATGTGCGCTAAATGTGCATATAATTCGGAATATTCCAAATTGACTCCACCTGCCGTATACCAAATTAACAACAAACCTCACCTAACCTTAAAATGTTGTGATATATTTATATCTACAATTTGTAGCAAAATAAGCATTAATTTCAATAATTAATATACTAAACTGTGTATTTGTATCAGTGTAAACATCTGAATATGCTTAAAAGTTGAGATGCGAATGGATTACTTACTTATTTAAAAAAATTCACAAACAGTACTTCCACTTGTACGATAATTGCCACGACACTAACAACACAGCGCCCTCTAAGCCACGGCTTATTCGTTGACTTCTATGTAGACTATCTGATACCGATGTTTCTTAAAAGATGTCGCTGCTAATAACTTAGTTTCTCCAGTATTCCAAATTACCAACAGTATTCCAAATTACCTGCATTTACTCTATTTTTCTAAATTGGGTTTTATGAGGCTGCCGTCGATCGGGTATATCTCCAAGTACTTTGCTGAGGTAATGTCAGGGTATCTGTGCGACTGAAAGTACAGCGCTGACATGTCAAACTTTTCTTCATTTGAGTAGGGAATACCGGCAATTTTGACACAGTTATGATTTTAATAAGAGAAAACGTACCTACTACCTACTAGAACACCATTTTAATACTTTGAATTATTTAACATCAAAGTTAGAGATTCCTTGGATGAAAAAATGCGCTACTTATTAATTTTACTTTTTGGCAGATAAATTAATACATAACATTACGTGTGATGATATTTTGATGTTACTCCATTCCTTTATGCACTTGTGAGACATCACTATTCTGGAAATTTTACGCTCTTTCCAAAAATCGAAAAATCCACTATGTAGGTCATAAGAACAATGAAAGTTGGTTATGGAAAAACAAAAGACGATTTAGACATGTAAAATACGATATGTGATATTTGCCTCAAAAAAATTTCCGAATAATGTCACATTCTACCCAAAAAATAAACAACATCAAACTGCGACACCTCGATAAGGATTAAAACTTTTCAATTTTCTGTATAAGTGCTCAAAATTTAACTAACAAAAATGACCGGTTACAACTTCTTCAGATACATTTCTTTTGTAGTGAAATAAATTATGAATTTTGTGCTGTAGAAATTTGTGAAACGAATTTGTCGTTTGTAAGTCCGTACAGGTCTCCTAGTGGGGTTGTGAATGTCTTTTTACTCTTTACTAGCCTAGACAATCTATTAGTCTGTTTTTGCAATACGTATGATAAGCTGATTATTTTAGCCGATTTAAAAATTGATTTTATCAGGAGTTCAGTTGAATCTTGTTTGGTCCATTGCTATATATATATATAGCAATATAATTAACTACTTCACAAACCCCAACTTTTACAGTTCTCAGACTAGGTCGTACGTCTGATGACCAAATTCTCACTATCGATATCAAAACAGAATTTCCCATGCTTTAGATCCGTACAACCATCTACCAACAATCATGATACAGTTGAGTTTGTATATATTTTAAAAAGTTTATGACTCAACATTGGGATTGTTTGTGTTTCATGAGTGAATATTTTGATTCAAAACTTCAGCCAGAGAAGTATGCGTACTGAAAATGTTTATGTCCAACGTATGTTGTTAATTCTATCACTACGTTTTTTCTGTGATCGTTTTGTATAAACGCCACTTGGTTAAATCGCAAGTTTTTCATGACATGTCTATCTTGTATTTTGTAAATGAACGGGTACTATTTCACTGGATAAGCGGCTTTCTGTCCTTAGTTTTGTTTCAGAAGCACTCATTCCATTCCTCTTGTTGTTGAATGACCTACTTTTCATCCAGACTTCACCAAAATCATGTATTCATTGGTGTGCATTGGGTTTAGGTAGATGACTGGACGTGAAGACTTAAGCCGAAAATGTTCCATAACGTCACTATGCATGACAATAACATTTACAATGTATATTATAGTTTCACCCCTGCTCTGCTTCCAAGCCGGAAACAGCAACGTTCCGATTGGATATCCGCCAACGGATACGTAGTGAATCTTTAACGTCGAATCACATTATCGATATCGTCCTGAGGGCAATCCATGGCTGGAGTATAGAGCTAATACAGCCCGGAAACTTAATTATATTTAGCGTTTCCGGTCGGCAGTCAGCAGAGCGCTGCCGTTTCATATGGAAATTTGGAGACATCCTTCAGTGACGTATTCAGACCAGGGAGTATACTATTTCTTGTAGTTTTTGTGGACCTTGACAGTGCATCTTGAACCCTACCGATTCTAGAGTCCGTCGCCGCTTTTTGCCGCTAGTCGCGACTTCAGGGAGCTGCATGGGCTCTTGAGTATGTACATGGAATGGTTCTATTTGACGTTTCGCCAAAGTAGGTAGGTATATATTAGACAGCTTAAAAGGAAAACTGCGGAAACTAGTAGAATAGTCTCGGCAACATTCTGTTGAAAGAACTTCGTCATCCTACGCATTTCTTCTGAGCCCAGGGACTCCATGACCAAGTATAAGATAACACTGCCGTCGCCACTCCTGAAAAGAGATATAGTTTAGAAGAAATAACATGAGGATTACTGATGTTACTGACATAACAACCCAAACAATCCATCAAAAAATGACTCTGCACTTCCGACGTAACGCTGTCATCAGTTCCTAGTACAAATTGGTCCCTATGAGGAAAAAGTTACCTAAAAACATGTATGTTTTGTCAGCCAATCAGGCTCATACAATTAGTCCATAGTCGTGATAACGCTAGAATTTTCCTTCCTGTCCTACCATTTGCCATCGGTGCTGAACCACACTGTAAGCGCCAGTCTTTATACTATAACTCGAGGTTCAGGGCCAACGATGCAACCAGACACGCGAGGCAACTGTAAAAATTTTTATGTTTTAAGAAAAAATATACGCGAAAATCTATCGGCGTTGGAAAGCTTAAATGTACTGCTACTAAAGATTGGAATATTCCGCCCTACACCCTCCGACCCCCAATGTTTAAACAGTACAAATTCTGTTCTTAAAATTATGGGGAGCCTCTGAAATGTCAAAAAACGCAGTTTGAACGATTTTCGGAAACTGCAAAGCTTTTTTGTCCTTGTGGTACCCTTGCGTGAAAGTTTCATCAGAATCCGAGTGGAACTTTTCAAGTTATAGACCGGCCAAGAATAATCGTACAGATAGACCGACAGCATACAGACAGACACATCAACAGACAGCGAGACCGATATACTTAAGAGACATGAGTCATGGTGATATACCTGTCATATAACGTCAAAAAGAAGTAATATCTTATTCCTTCGCGATTACAATACTTCCCTGCCAGCGGTGTTTAGAGTCCGTCAACAACAATCAATTTAAGAAATTTCGGATTCTGTCATTTTTTTACGTAATATCCTGTATTTCAAGAAGAAGCAACTTTCCAAAACAATATTGGTATACCATACTACTAGCGATTCGATGATTCATTGTTAAGTTATTCAATGAATAAAAACGCTCAACTTTGGTAGTCCGGCTTTCCGCTATTTTGGAAGTTAACAAATATGTAATGTAGAGTTATAAATTACTAAAGAGGCGATTCAAAATAACACGTCATAATAACCCCCATTCTATTTAGAAAGTTGTTCCAAGACATCCACTGTCTTGAAATTTTCAAAGCCACTTTTACGTTAAAAGACTGTAATAAAACCAACAGTTTCATCTCAATGGATTTCAACTTGCTAACTTGGTTTGTTAATAGAATAAGTTGTAGGAGCCTTTTTCCAAGGCATCGTATTACTTTTGCATTTGGCTGGGTCTAATACGTTTGGATGTTGAACCAGAGTATATATACGAAATATCTCTAGATACCACTTACACAGGAGGTCAACTCTCTAGCATGATGAACTAGAACAATAGAAAGTGGTGTTGCTTATTACTTTCTGAAAAACTGTCCACAAGCATCTCGAAGAAATTCTATGATTTAGCTTTTGCAAAATCTTACCACACCCAAAACTGAGACAAAAATTTTCGGAACAATTTCCTAAACATCATACATCGTGAATTAACAAAATCGCTATTGAAAACTTGTGTTTTTATATATTATAAGTTAGCGTAAGTAGCTGACGGCCGCCACCCTATACTGTATTTCCTGAGCACTGATGGAACAGTCACCCCCGCGTTATCCTCCTGATACACTGCATGAGAAACCATGCGGAAGTTCATCATTCTT